AAAAAAAAAAAAAAAAAAAAAAAAAAAAAAAAAAAAAAAAAAGGGAGGAGGTGGGAAAGGAACCTGGAAACCGGGGTTGGGGGTGGCCGCTGCCATCGTACCAGGATCGTCGTACCGGGATCATCGGTTTTTTTTTTCCTCTCTTTCCTTTCTTTTCTTTTTTTTATTCTCTGTTTCAGGTGCTGCTGCTGCTGCTGGTGATTCTCGCACCCGAAGGTAAGATACCGTTTTTTTTCTTCTGGTTAATCTATTGCGGAGGGCACTACTCTCGTCTTCTCTCAGCAGTATCAAGGACTGTATGGAGCAGTGATAGATGGAGCTGCATCAGCGTCGTAAGTGTTTTAAATTTGTTTCCTTACCCCCTCTCTCCCCCGTGGATTAGGGCTCATGGCGATACCACGTTAAAAAAAACGCGCCAATAGCTCTACCTCCGGGAGCAGCACCGTATCGTCAACCTGATCGAACTCTCCTAAGGTGGTGTGGAAACGAGCTTATCGAATGGAGTTCGCCCATTATTCTTCAGAGTTGTGGAAAATTATTGTCACTGCCCCATTGATGGTAGTTAGGAGGCAGAAACTGCGTCCGAGATTACGGGCCATCATTAAAAACTGAGCGTGGAAGACACCTAATCTTACCTGGGCCGTAGTATTGTTTTCCAGCGGTAACATCAAAAACTTTTCCATTGACAGCAACTAGGATTCGTCCCTCTGGTCCGTTTCCGTCATATGGCAACAACTCCTCAACTGTGAAGTCTCGTTTCTTGAGTTTCGGCAAGGAGGGTCGAACAGCAACAGGAGCTGGTTCTTCGGTGCTTTTTTTGAAAATTTTATACAACAAAAAGGTAATTATACCGACGAGGATTAGGTTTAAAGGATTACTAAAAATCTCACTAAGAATACCAGCTTCCTCTTCTGCCATTGTACGAGTTTTGGTTACTGACACAGACAACTAAGTTTAGTAAACACAAAAGGGGAACAGAATGCGAACTGATTATTGAAAAACTAGATCTTTACAAAACTTCGCACAGCAGGTTTAAGTATGTAGCGGAAAACTTTCTCAATTTGAACGCAGATCACAGTTTACTTCATTCTTGAATGGATGATTCATGTTGTTTTGATCACTACATTAGAATAAACGGAACGAAAGAGAGCAAGCAAACCGTTATTTCTGGTTGCCTAATTTTTGGCCTCCCAAGATTGTGAGGAGCTTTCAGTAGCTTTCAGAGGTTCGCGAATAGTTGCAAATCCGTAGAAATATCTTATTTCTCACAAAAACGCTGAATATATTGTCCCTGCGAATCCACCCGAATAGTTTCGTTACTCTAATAGTATTTTTTGGCGCGTTCAGGAGAGAAAAACCACGCAACTCCCTTCAAAATGACAATATAGGCAAATTCTGTACCTGTTAGTCATGAAAAAACGCACTCTAGTAGCATATTGATGTACTTCATACGGCACCGGCCGGAACCCATGTATGTGGATGCCTCTGTCAAAATCCTTATTCCACGATAGATTAGTACGTGCAAAAGAATTCAATTCCAATCGCTATGTAATAAATATTTTCCGTAATCAGTGATCACTTATTTATTACCGTTTTTAATTACTAATCATTTCCTCGAATGAACTAAGTTTTGAACGTTTCTGAGCAGCAGTATTACGTACAATGAGTCTTAGCAGCCTCATTTTTCAGTTTTGAAAAATCAAAGGTTCTCTTTAGTATGTTCCTTTTTGCAGCCAAGATCTTGTTTAATTTCTCTAATTTTCCATTAAACTGTGATAAAAACTCGTTCCATATCTGCCAGAAGAATGGATGAAAGTCTGCTTGATTCAAATCTGGTAAGCATTTCATTTTGGCAATTATATCAAAGCTTCAATTGGTACCGTAAATCGTGCTGTAACATCTCAGCGTATGTTTATACAGTTTAATCTAGACAGAAATTAATGTCTCAAGGTGGAGATTTTAATTGGCACTGTAAAATTACCTAAAGATTCTCTATGAAGATGATGCAATCTTTGTCCGTAAAATGTGTACTCTGCGTGTTAAAAGAATGGACGATGCATATTTCGTTACACTAATGGCAAACGCCTTTAATGAGGTTAGGTGACTTGTGTCTTACAGCTGTCATCCACTTTTTCTGTAGTGGTCACACTCCAATATTATGTCATCTCGTAATGTTTGAGCTTAATTCTACTTACGACCGAAACCGGACTTAGCTTTGAGTGACATCACATCTTGGATTTTGAAGCATTAAGATCATAGGACTCCTCTGTTATAAGAGCAGAGCACGTAAACAGGAGCAAATTGGTAGGAATCAAAGAGATTCTAAGAGTCCGTATTAAATAGGGAAAGTGCAAGACCACCAGAACCTCCTGTGCTTTTTCTTAGCCAATCAAACACCCGACAACTAGCTTTTCATTCCTTATGGAAAATAACACGGGTGTTCGAAGCCTTACATTTTTCCGAATGGAGTCAATTTATTGGGAAAAATATGTTTACGACTGACTTCTCGAGGATTTGGCATTTCTATTGATGTATGATATGTTCCATTTACTCCAATGAACACCGAAGACCTTGATTTTTTAAATTTCGATTTTCTGCCACTCGGATGGATGTTTTTGACCGTCCCAATAGCTCTCTGGTCCAAAACATCGTTCTAATTGAAAGGGATTGAACTTTCAAAAATCAAGATCCATGGTGTTTTTTCGGTATAAGTTGAAAATACTACACATGTATAGAAATATCAACTCCTCGTAATGTCAGTTGTGGACATATTTTTCCAGAAAAATTGACTAAATTCGAAAGAAATGTATGGTTTCGCCCTCCCTATGAACGTATTTATGCTAAAAGGAACTATGTTGTATGTTAGCGCATAGCATCTAGCCTGTGCACATTGTTCCTTTTAGCATGAATACGTCCATATTATTTTCCCGAAAGAATGAAGAACTGGTCGTTGAGTGTCTGATTGAGTGAAGATAAAGCGCGGGAAGATCTGGTGGTGGCGCATTTTTCCCATACAACACAGACTTTCATTTTCTCTTTGGTTAGAACTGAGGCAACTTATTAAGATTTCAAGAATTCCATTCTCTTCTGTCATTTGCCTACTTACAATTAGACAGATTTCCACCAAACAGACCTATGTGCAGGTGAGAAATATGGGGTGTGCTCTAGAAAGCTGCATAAGAAGCAATGTAAAAGTGCGCATGATTCCTTTTGAAGAATTGGAAAAGCAGGATTTTACATTCTGTCAAACGGAACAAAGTGCCAACGGAATGCGGGATTCATGAGCAGTCGTGGACAGGGCTCATGAGTTAAAGCGCCCTGACGGCAATCTCCCTGTTGCGCTATGACCCCTTCATTGCCGCTGACTTCACTGGCGCTTTATTATTCTCATTCACTCTTACGGCCAGAGAACTAGCAAGCACACCCCATATTTCTCACCCGCACATAGGTCTGTTTGGTAGAAATACGTCCAATTAGTCTTCTGGCTTAATGCACATATGTTTTTAGGCCTGGCTTCAGATTGTTAATTAAAATCTTGAATGACAAAGGAATCATTTTAATATCAAGGTGTTCTCAAAGCGGTATTGAATATTCCTGATTGTTTGATCTTTTTTTTCAGGCGGATGGAGACCTCTTGTCGGACTCCTCAGAAACTGAGGAGTATGACTTGCATAACGATGAAACCTTCGGAGATGACTGTGTTATGGGTGAGTGTCCTCTGGATCGCCAGTTTTGATAGTGTGACAAACGAAGGGTGCTGGTTGGCCCTGCATGGGCCACACTCTTTTTCTAAAGCATTGAGAACAGGATAGCTACAAAATCAAAGAGAGCATGAGGAGAATCAAGCAACGTATACAATGAACACCATCATAAGATCCAAAAAAGGCTTGTTCCATGTCTTTTAAATTCATACAACCCAAATTTCAGATCCTTTAATAAGATTATTCCACATAAATGAACTTATTATTTAGAGAAAAGATTTTGACACAACATCACAGCCATGGTGCTTATTCTGTAAGTAAGGAATTACTCTTGTTGAAGGGAAAAACTCTATAGCCAAATTTCCCCTCTCGGAGTACTCTATCCAGAGTAACACCAGCCACAATCAATCTTGCTGCGCTGCACTGATTATAGTTTCAATTAGACCCGCCTTATCTCTGAACTGAGCAATGCTTGTTCCTCCAACTTTTGTTCATTTTAATTATTATTTTATTATAGTTTCTACCTAGATTGTATTTGCTGAAACAACAGAAAGGATCAAACTTCATTGCGCCTTGATTTTAGACGTTCAACTTCTCATATCATTTGTATGAAATGTGCGTGTGTGAACGTGTGTAACTTTCAAAAATCGTTTGAAGTAACCCGGCAAATTAATTTCTTTTTTCAGAGGATGACTGGGAAGAGGTTCACGAGAAATTGGCCGAAATGGAAGAATCTCATAAATTCAATGGGAACAGCTTCCATGGGCAGGTTTGTGCTTACTTTGTTCTTTGAGATTTGCACATCAAACACTGTCCACCGAAGGTTTTTCTATTGTAAATTACAACGTTTCTCTTGGTTACCTATCATTTTATTTTAGCCGATGGACTGTGCTCGGTCTGCATTACAGAGTTTCAGATGAAATGAAAAACCTGGAAAGTTCAGAAAAGTTGGGGAATTTACTGTGACCTGGAAAAAGGTCAACCTCAGCCAGTGCCATTCGAGAGAGCATGCGCAATTTTCAGAGTGACTTTTTCCTAAATGTGAATCTCCTATGGTGAAAACGTTCGAAGTGAAAGAAAATTAATTACAAGAAGGGAAAAATTCGAGTGGAAGTTTTGAAACCATGGGATTCGGAAATTTTGACGTCAGGAAAAAACAATAAAAGTCTGGGAATAGGAAAATGAAAAAATTCTGGATACCCTGGTGAGTGTTTTAATTCTGTAACTATGCTCCATTGCATTCCTAGTTTCGGCATGTTTTGAAAGAAAACCAATGTCAAGTTGTCAGAGTCTAAGTGCTAATTTTTAACTCCTACAACAGTAATTTCTTGTTTTTTTCTTTTTTGTGGATAACGTACAGAGCTGTTCCCTTCATGTTATTTTTATTTTAATATTCCATTCTTAAGTTGGAATCAAAGTTTATTTTAAATATGTTTTCCTGGACAGGATTTGCAAGAGTCACCGAAATCGAAGACTTCACAAGATGTCGGAATCCCAGGAAGCCCCTCTGTCATCGAGCACTCCGGCTTTGTCAGAGTTTCCAATATTAACAAGGGTCAGATTGGCAGTCCTCGCTCTCTAAATGGTCAGTAATTTTTTCATGAATGAACGTTTAATGAGTACTTTTGCATCTCCAGTGAGCTGGTTTTGAATTACCGAATGAATACTAGCAGTCTCAGAAAAATGTGACTTTTATTAATAGGCCATTTTTCATTATAATGTTCTTCCTTGCACCAATCAACACCTCAAGAAATCTGCAACTCTTCGTTTGATAGCTAATGTGTTTCATTTTCAATTAATCTTAAATAACCTCCTTGCAAAAATAGGGTTTTAGCAAACAGTAATTCTCAGATGGAAGGTCAATCTCTTTAGTGTGAAATAATAGACATACCATTCAAAACGATATTTTCTGTTAACTCAACAAAAGACATGTTGTTCTTGTCTGAGAATCATAAATTGGAATTTCTATTAATCCAGCAGAAAATTTTTCCCAGTGTAATTTAGTATTATCGAGTCTCTTAAATCCATTCCTGAAAGTGTCAGTAGGGCTCCGTTTCTTTTCTTTCACTTTCTAAGTTAATATTATGTCTTCCTCAATTCCCTCATTCAATTACTTTCATTTCTTCATTCTAGATTCATATCAACTGCCACCTCTATCAGGGGGCCCAAATCTTGACAGCCTCTTCAAATTAGCAAGAGCCAACACCCCCAAGTCTCCTGCTGTAAGTATCTTAAGTTTTACTCCTCCTCTGGACTCAACCGCACAGTATTATGAATCTCATTGTTACAAAAAAATATCCCAAAGCATCAATCTCAAAATATCACAAGATTTGGTCAGAAACTACTTCGAGATTCTGTTTTTACAACAGTAAATCACAATCCAAAATGGTACCAGTACTCCCTTGTGGACAGCTGAGTTGTCTGTTATGAGTTGCTTCCAAACTGGCACTGATACCGTATGTTAGTGTCCTTCGCTGAACCGAAAATTTAATTCTGTAGAAATTGTTGACCACATCTTGTGGTGCTTTATAATTCATCGTGTTTATGCATATGCTGTCACTTTTGACGGCTAATGAGCCAGAAAGGCTTTAAGGTAACTTAAGTTTTCATTAAATAATGTCCAAAGTTCTGGTCTCTTAAGATTTTTTTTAATACACATATTGGCTATGTCCATATAAGCATGTCTGTATTGTTTGCCCTGAATTCTCTGAATGAAGTGGCAATTAAGGATTTGGAAGTCCGAAGACCAAATGTCACCAGTCGATGTTCTTAGCGTGGCTTAACCAAGCCAGTCCAATCATAGAGAATGGGGTCATCAAACTAAGTTGTGTGAAAGCATTCTTCTCCCTTAATTGCTATCAAGCGTTCAACATTTTTCTTTATTTTTTTTTTCAAAGGCTATCCTTGTTGCTGTGGGATTGCAAATACTTTTGAAATAATGCTTATGTAAAGTATGCAAGAATTGCCTTGCCAACATTTATATACATAGAGTGATGCCTCAGTGAATATATAAAGCTACTCTTGTCAATTTTCACTCACATACTCACATCAGTTAGTCTTTCTATTGAACACGCCATTTTAACTGGCGTTGGATTTCTATTAACCTTTTCAACGGAGAAAAGCTGTTCTCGTTAGATCCAAAATATCTCATCTTATAATCCCACATTCTTTGCAATCCTCGAAAACGATCTCTCTTTGTTATCTTCCATTTCCTGAATTATCTTTCTAAGATCTGTATTGGTTTTCAGATTAAAACTGTAGAACAACTTGAAAAGGAATTGCAAGACCAGGCTGCTGTAAAAGACGTCAGAGCAGACCGAAGCACCTCACCAGAGGTGGCAGCAGCGATTAGGCGATTGAGTTTAAGTGCAAATGTAAGTCTGCCCCTTCTTTTCTCCAGAATTATGGTTATTTTTATTTTTGTGTCAGGGAATCCGCAATAATTCGGCATGTCAGGGACTTTCATTTTGCAAGCGATCTTCTTGTCGGGGAAACATCATCAAGGAAATCGGAAAACATGAATTTTTCTGAAAATTTTTTGCAAATTTTACGCTTACGGAGATGTATACCAAACTTTCTATCAGAATTTCTGCTAATGTCTTTTCAGTTTTAAAAATTAGGCAAAAATATGTTGCATAAGTTCAGGCACCATATATTTTGCTGTATTTATTGCATTATATTCCTAAAACATGAAAAAATTCTAACTTACGTGTAATCAGTTCAATCGTTTCGAAAAATTGGGAAAATTTCTCCTTTTTGTCACAGAAATGTCATGGAATTATTTTTTCTGTCTATCAGGGAATTTTAAATTTTCCCCGGTTTTTTGGCCGTTTTTGTCAGGGAAATATCAGGAAATTTTTTTTGAAAATCGCTAGATACCCTGAAAGAAAACTGTATCATAATTCCTTTTATTCTCTCGATCCCTTGAGTTCACGAATCCTCTTCTATTTTCTTCCAGAAACCAGCAACAGGACCCCCAGTTTTAAATTCATGGCTCACACAACTGCAGCAGCAGCAGCAAGTAAAGACGAACGGAACTCCAGTCAGGAATATCATCCCGATCCAACCCATTCAGGCGCCTTTAACACCGATCATGAGAAATGCCCTCCCTGGTCAAGTCTCTATAGCAACTCCAATACCCGTTCCCATGGTTGTCACGCCTCACATTTTCCATTCTCCCATTCGCCCAGTCCATTTAGGAACCAATCAAAATCCTAGTTTTCCAATTTTAGCGGCCCCAGGGTCCATCCCTAGGACGCCAACGCGGTTCGAACCAGCAATTCTCAGGCCTATCACACCGTCTTCTATCACACCACCGAAGCCTTCTCTACAAGGGCAGAAGCTCTCTCATCTCTTCAGAATGCCACTACCGTCGGCACCTTCGCCGCACGTCTCGGGTTTATCCTCGCCGATGATGATGAAACCCCAGAATCCAGAACCTATGAGTGAGTCATCCGTCCGTAATATTTATTTTCCGCACAAAAAAATAGAGCCATCCAAGCTGAGATTACGTATGAATTTTAAAAGAAACAGAAAAGGAGCAATCCTATCTATTTTCAGGGTTTTTAATATCAGGAAAACCCAGGGAAGTCAATTTGAAGAGAAAATCCAGAGAAAACCCAAAGAATTTGGCGTCATTTCTAGATTTCAAGAGAAAAACTGTTCCACACAAAACGGTCCAGTGATAAGAGTTACTTGGAAAAAGAGTTTAAAACTGGAAGCTGCCTGTTTTCTTGTTTCAAGTTTGAATTGCTATCCACAGCTAATAGCACATGCTGAGTTCTTAGATAAATAACTTTATTATTAATTTTTTTTGACATTTATTATTAATTATTAGACTCAAATGCAACTTGACGAGCTCCGTTGCTGCCAAAATGAAATAAACTATTCGTAACTTCTCATCAAAAACTCTTCCAAATTCTGATTTTGCCATCTTGACCAAGTCTTTCCGCTATAAATTTCCATTCCTTCTTCAAGGTCCCTTTTTCCTTGGATGGCCTTGAGTATGTTTCTGAAATTCATCTGTGTTACGGTTGCATATAATTTGCATGCACGTTTTTGTGTATGTTTTAATTTTCTCTATCAGTTGTGATTTTGATCACTTTTTTTTTATTACAAAAAGAAGGTAACTTGTTTCTGCACTTTCTCCACAGTTGAATTTGATTTAATTGTCTTAAATGTTTCAGACATTGGGCATGGGGAGAATAACATGATCGGAGACGGATCTCATCCTAATTCTAGAAAACGAGAATACCAACGACATATGGACGCTGAATCTGACCATGATGACAGAGATCCTTACGCAGGTCTGATGACGCCGCAGGAAAGACATTGGATTGCCCAAATTCAACTCATGCCGCTCAACACAACGAAGCCTTTTGAGGACGATTACTATTTCACAATGCATCAGCACAAGCTGGCCGGATCCTACTCTCTTCGCACAGCAAAGAAATCAGTCATAGCAGCAACTAAAATGCCTGAAGTAACGATCGTTAGAAACAGTAATTATACTCCCCTGCAGTTCGAAAATTCACTGGGAAAAATTCAAGCTGGCAGCGTTGTGGCTCCAAGGAAGCTAATCGATGCCTCATCAATACATAACAAAACACCAGCAGAAGAGACATCAGGTCTTGGTGAAGGTCTCAAGGTTTCGACGGAAGTTAGAAGCGGTGGTATTTCGCCTAGTCGTAAAGGGCTCCAAGACTTGCCGACTCCTTTAGTGCAGAAAAAATCCTGTCAGACGCTTATTACGATTGAACAAATGTTCCAACAAGTTCTACTTTTAGAAGAAGACTCAAGTCCCTTGTTCGAGGGGAAGAAGTTGAACGATCGAGATGAGTTAATTAGGACTTTATCAAACCATCTTAATGCCGACACAGAACGGATATCTCATATCATGTCTGTCAGGAAAGGGAGAATCCTTGCTCTCCGATTGCTGCCATTTATCAGTGATAATATCAATTTTTGGAAAACTTTCACATCATCTCTAGAAACCTTGATGAAAACGGATGACGATATTTTCCTTCAGTTTTTACCGTTCTTCCGGAGAGATCTCCAGACGACTTCCATGGACGAAATCATCAGCTTAGTGGAAAGTGCTCTGCCAGTTTTAGCGTTCCTAGTTGTAAATAAAGTAAGTTAACGTTTCTTATTTTTCTGTCTTTTTTGTTTTGAGGTTTTATCTTTTTGGGTGTAAAAAATGCTCAATTCCAGTATCTGAAGGTAACATCAAACATCATAGCCAGTGATGAGAGAAAATGTTCAAAAGTGATAATTTCTTCTACAGTAAGGAAAATGTTTATGAAAATTAGAGGATCAACAAGAAACCTAGGACCTAAAGACCTAAACAAGAAAAAAAAATCCTCTACAATTTTTGCTGTGTAAACATTATCAGAAAAACCTAGAACTTACATCAGTTCTCAGAACGGGCCACAACCAAGACGAGCACGTGTCCCAGCCAGTAGCTGCTATTGGTCGGTAGCAATGGGGCCCTAAGAGTATCCTTATGAATTTTCCGAGGTGCTACTCATTTCAGTGACAGCATTTTCACCCACATTCATTTCCTTTGATTAGTAAATGAAGTAACTAGGTTTATCCAGCTTTTATTTTGCTGGTCCATTTTCTCTGTTTCCTTTACTAATACTTTTTTTCAAATTTTTATCAATTAATTTACCCTAGAAAAATCAGACTTGCATATGACAAACAGGTTTTTCTGCTATGATTTCGATTCGTAGATAAGTGTTTGAATGGTTAAAGAGATCCATAAGGTATTTGCTGAAAATGTAAGTCTTCTTTTGGCAAGTGCCTTTTCAAGCTTTCAGCTTATCGAAAGCTGAAGTCCAAAAATGCATATCTCAGATTGCAACGTTGTATTCATGTATTGTTTTTTTCAAAAGAAAATTAAGTGTTCATTGAAATATTTTTTTGAATTTCCTGTACTCATTCTGAGAGTATTGTAAAATTCCTCGGAAACATCATGGTTAATTTTCCTCAAAGAGACGGAATCAAAGATTTTAAACGTTGCATTTTTTAACATTGCATAACATTTGCATTGAAACATGTTTTGCATTTAACCATCGTTCTTATGATTTTCATCCAGTTTAATTATTTTCAGTTAAAAAAAATCTCATTGATTTACAGGTTGGCATCTCAATTTTAGCAAGTTTAGTGAACAGAGGAGCTACTCTCTACGGACAAGCAATGGTCGAAGAAAAAACAACATGGAAATCGTTTTTGTTGAGTCTAGCAGAAGCTTTACTCACCCGTGACATCAAGGAAAGACCTGTTGTGGCTGTGGTGAAGGAAACTTTCTCTTTACATTTAGCAGAGACGAAACTAGCGAAAGATAAGAAAGACATTTTATTAACAGCTCTATGAGAGAACCAAATTATAATTTTTTTAGCTATTGTAAGATGCTTTTGGTTTAATCGAAGAAAAGAATGTGGACTGTAGAAGATTATCTTCAGAATTTTTGATTATTAATTTAGAAACATTTCTATTATTACAATTATATTTTCTTCTCTTAGTGATTTCATCAAGTTGAGTTGATAAGTCAGCTGATTGAAGTATCATCTAATGAACAGAGAAAGGGAAGGATTAACCAAAGCCCCCAACAAAACTTGTGTCCTCTTTGTGCTTAAAAATGTTTTCAGAGCTGAGTCCACTGTAGTATTAAAAAAATATCGACTGAGAATTTCAGTCTGAAAAGCATCATAAGGCCAGAAAAAAAAAATCACAAAAGCCCCATAAATTATTTTCAAGTTTCTATTTTTTGCATGGCTCTAAACATAGCCCTAGCAAATGCTTGTTTTAATTTTTCATCTTCTCCTTTTTGTCCTGTGTAAATTTCGAACATGAAGTATTTCTCTTGTATTTTTATTTGAGGCATTCAGGATCAAAACCTGTAATCTCCGTTTGGCTGTTTAAAAATTTTGCAATTTTCTCGAATTCTTACATAAATGACCGACGAGTTTTAATTTGCATAATTTCTCAACAATTTCCTACAAGTTAGCAAAAAAATTATGACATATTTTACCCGAAAATTCTTATTGATTACTCTTTTCTAAAAATTTAAACATCTGCCAAGTTTTTCGACAGTGGAATGGAGATTGCAGTTTTTGATCCTTGGTTTATCATTTATGAGGTCTATTCTCTTCATCAATTTTTTTCTTGCTCGCTGAATATGTCAGACATCTAAGAGGGCCAGAAGGTTACAAAAACAAATTTGACAGATAGGCTCTTAGTGGCAAACTTTTCAGCATTCATCAGATCAGTTGGAAACATATATTTGTACTAAAAGACCTACCTAAGGTATTTGTTTAAATGTTTAACTGAAAAAAATACTGTAAAAAACAATTCTCTGTAGATAATCTTAAGCTGTGATATGAGAATTGGAAGAGATGAAGGGGGACAACTTGAATTAGTATCCCTGTTAACTTGTTAAATTTAGCTATAGTTGTCCCCTTCAGGAGTAAAGTCAAAAAACAAGGATCAAGTTCTGAATTTTTTTCGGAGTAGAAACTTCAAACCCCCATAATTCTTGGACAAATGAATGCCTCAAGGGCCTGTTTCTTGGAAGAATATATCTATCATCTAGTTTAGTCTATCAAAACAAATTCTACGCTCACGATGCCTCGCCTAATTTCGTATTCAGGCAAAAAATAACAGTAATAGCTTGATCATCCTCGCTTATGCTGTTTTTTGCTAGCATTTTGGCACCAACAAAAAGAAAACATGAGAAAAAAATAAGGCAATGGCTGCAGGCTTATGATTGAATTTGATAGACAAAGCCGTAAACAAAGAAGATGATGGGATAATGGAGTGAGCCTATTGGTTGAAACAGGTGGTTGTCATGAACTAAAGGGGAAAATGATGAAGTAACCATAAGGTCTCTCGTTGGTTGTTGTTATTTACTCTATTTTTTACCTCTGTTGTTCCTTGCAGCCACCTGCTTCCACCAATAGGATTCCTCCTTATTCCTTTTGTCTTCTTTGTCTATCAAATTGTAGTCAGGCTGATTCGAGTTTTATGTGTGTGAGATCACATTTAAAAATTTTCTCGAGCTTGCTCAGTTGCGCAAGTCTCTGTTACACATTAACGATTACTTAATTTTCACTGTTAATAATAATTGAAACTCTTTGATGTTTCATGACTTATCGTGATTTTTATTTTTGTACTTATGCAGAAGAATCAGTAAAAACTTTCCAACTCTAAGATTGTAAGTAGGTTTTTCTTTCAAAGTAGGAATGTAATTATTATGTTTATGCCAGCACAGAAAGCAGTTTTATCTTGTGAATATAGTAATTGTATCGGAGACACAGGTGCTTATTGTGTTTTGTTATTTTTTAGTTCATTATTTATTTCTTATTATAAGTTCTCATGCTTTTTTTCTGATAATCACCAATGCTTTATCAGGAGAAGTTCAGAAACTCTCAGTGTTCAGTTTTTATAGTACTAGCCTGCAATGCATGTAGGATAAATTGTAAATCTGTAACTCGCCACAGACTGTTCGCTAATAATTGGCAACTCATCTATTCTTAAAGAAGAAAAGGGAGTAGCATGATTAATAATTAGCTTTTAAGTACGATCAATTTTATCGGTTAAATTTTCTTTGGGAATCTCTGATCTATCAGGAGCGTCTTTCCCTCTCGTTGAGGTTGAAAGGTATCACCTTAGAAAACTGTTCAAGAGCAATTTTTGACAAAATTAGTCACAACTCTGGGTAAAGTCAAATCATTTTTTTAGTGTCCTAACATATGGAAAACAGTGTTGTCTAATTGCTTGTGCAGTCTTAGTCTAGCTATTGGTCTCTTTCACCAAATTAGATAAATAATGTAATATTGTTAATCTCGTGAAGTGGCAAAAAGAGAGAAAAATAGTCCAGTCTTTACCTTCAAATATCAGCTTCAGCTCATGTTACTGTAGTGGTCTTGTTTTTTGCTTTTTTCTCTCAACAGATTGTTAGAAGAACTTCTGTCGCCTTGATATGTTATCTGAATTCTTTTCATAAGTAGGCAGTCACATATTTACTCATTTTATTTTATTTACTTTATCTGCGAGTTGAAGAAAAAACGAAAATGTAAGGCTGGTTAATTTTCTTTGTCTATCTCTCCTGTTTTGCTTAATTCATGCTAATTTTACAATATTTCTGTTTTATCCATTCGTGTAAGCAAAACTGCCGAAAAGTTCAATTTCTTTGCTTTTCTTATTGTTTCCCACTGCTCTATAATTTGAACTTGGGAATGAGCGGATGAAGATTTGCAAAGATTATTCAGTCCAATGGGACTGTTCAGCAAAAATGACTCTAAACAAAACACATCACCATCAACGATGTGTTCTTTTGAGTATTGTTCACGCAAGAACTCTCATTCAAAATTTCAAGAAATATTACGCCAATCGACGGTGAAACTCACTAACCACGCACCTTGGTTTGCAATGTTGCAGACTTCCTGTCCTACTGTATTTTTTTAAATGAAAAACTACTGGACGTCAACTCATTAAAATTTCCATGATTTTTCTTCTCTGTATGAAGCAAAGTTTGAAAAATGTTCATGGATTAATGTTGATTTGTTCACTTTTAAAAAATAAAAATGGAAGGAGATTTTTAAACTCCTCTAAAGAGATTTGTAAACTCCTGGAAGGAGGTACGTGGTTTTGGAGTTTCACCGTCATTATGCTTTTCATTTTGAAAAAATAGCTCATAAATGATATCAAAATTGAATCGGGACGTGCGAAAACCACTAATGTCCATTTTTCCAGTCCCATGTTTTTTTGAGCTCATAATACTTTCAAAGAGTTGATACAACCATAAAAGTGATGAGAGGACTCATTTTGGGTGTGAGGAAACCCAAAGACGAGATTTAACGCCACTTCCGTGGTTGCAACCAACTCCGAAAAGTATTATGAACTCAAAAAAAACTAAAGGCTGAAAAAATGGACATTAGCGGTTTTCGCACGTCCCGATTCAATTTATCAGTGAAGTTAAATTGGTCTTGCCTAATGGCATCCAATTATTAATGAGATGCACTCTTGTCTGCTGCAATCAAAATTACATCCTTCTCCTTTCTATTCTATGTCCCTCCCAATTTTTTTTTTCTTTTATTGTATTATATCGTAAACGGACCTAGAGAATGAGATTGTACTTTTCAAGCAGTCTTTTCCAAAAAATTCGTTTCTTATGATTTTGTGGACTCAGCTTGCTGAAGAATTTTGTGAGACAAAGAAGTTATAATTTTTTGAAAAATCAGGAGAAACCTATCCAATATTATTTCAGAACTAATTATAGGAAAGCAAATCTATTGAATTCTCTCAAGGTAACCAGGTGAACTTCATCTTGACACGTGTCAACCAATGGTCAGATGCATTTTTTTGCAGTAGGGGTCTCCAAGACTCCATGCAAAGTATTTTCTATATTTTTATTACTTTGTAATGTAAGCTATTTTTAAAACCGCATCAACTTTTTTACATTTTTTTTTCTCTTTAAATGACCAGCATTACAGCCTGTTGGTGTCTTTTGGTGCCTCTTTTATCGGAGTTTTCTAGGAACACTTGATCTTCCATAGTTGTAACTATTGTTTCAAATTTTAAAAAAAATTCAGTTTGGAACAAGTAATAAAGTAAAAAAGCTGAATTGCTTCCTGTATTTTCCAGCAATCCCTTTGAAAATGTGACAAGGAAAGTTCTTTTAACCTGCCACGCAGAGCTCTACAATTTAGCCATTATTTGAAATTCGAATTTGCTGTATTCGACCACTTAGCTCATATCCTTAATTTCGCTTATTTTGTTTTGAATAATTCTCGATCTAAAATCCTGGTTTTCCTTTCTCCCACCTTATTGAAGTAAATGATAGCTCTGAACGTTTTATTATTGACTGCAGAAAAATTTGATTTTCTGATTTTAAATTTTCTGATGGTTTTATCTGCATCAATTTTTAATTAAAGTCATTGATTTTTATTTCCTGTAGTTCAGTTTTTTCTTTCACTCTTACCTATCAAACCTGACGCATACGTATGGGCGGGGAAAAAGTTTGTGCCACCCGAAACTTAATACAAAATATTTCTTATGTAGTGATGTGAATTTTTGTCAAAAATTTGAGTCCTCTTGAAGAGAATGAATATTGTCTGGAAGTTTCACATGATCCACCATTTTTTCAACAACAATGAGATCTTTAAACCTCCTCACATTAACAAGTTCCAATCCATAGAATAAGTCGAAATATTCGTATCTCCATTGCAATGGTAAAAATCTCCCATAATGTTTTATATTCCAGAAGGAAACTTGCTATAACATCTAATATCTTTGAAAATGCCCTTGAATACCTTTGAGTAAAGAAAATTTTAAACAAAGCCTAATCCATCTTCTTTTTTTTAAAAAAAACAAAAAAAAAAACTTATCAAACCGAAACCTGCAATGTTGCTATCAGATGGTACAGCCATTGAAATGCTAGATCGTTGATTTACGCTGAAAAATGTGTATTGCAATGTTGTAAATCTTGGCTTGCATTTGGTTTTATTTGTTTTTCAAAGGGAACCAATCGACATTTTTTTTTAATTTTCCATGAATTTTCTGTTTTTGTAGTAAAGTATTCACAGAAAAGTTTAAAGTAGACGTTTTTGGTTTGTTTCCTGATCAATATGAAAAACTAAAAATATTGGGAAATTTTTAAAATAGTGAAAGTATGCACCTGTGGACTATTGCCATTGATACAGACCCAAGTTTCAAAACGAGTGCCACAGATTATTAAAATTTACTTACATGCAAGCATTTCGAACTATTTAATGCTACTCTCCTTTAATTGTAATTTTTAGATGGGAGGGATCAAAAATATTGTTGAGTTTTTGAGAAGCATTCGCAAGGTTAGATGATCACTATTGATAGAACCAAGAACAACCCGTGGACCTATTGGGCTACATTTTGCAATTTGGAACTATAAATTCTAGTCCGGTTTAAAAACAACGTATGTGCCATTAGTTTCCCTATGCACATAAGTGTTTTTCCAGAAAAGCCAGAATTTATAGTTCCAAATTGCAAAATGCAGCTCTATTCCTACTGGCAAATATCGTCCACGTAAGATTCGCCTTCAATTTCGCCGCATACCAACAAACATACCGGAGAGCGCTAATAGTATCTTTTTCGGAAAATACACATTCATTTCGCTCCAAGACTCATGGACCAAGAGCATTGATTGATAAGGAATGTTACTTTTTTATTCTTTTAGCAGTTTTTAAAGGTACATCTCGAAGAATTTCTTTGCAATTCAGCAAATATAGCCCTGATATATATTCGCGCTATTATTTTATAATAATAGCGTCCTTTCGTCCTTATGGACGAATCATCCGTCTGCAATTCGGGCGAATAATGAATTATTTTTCGTCTTGATTCATGTATTAAATCTAATATTATGTTAGAGGGGAAGCTTTGCCCCGTATCAAGGACTTTTTTTGTTTACATTCCTTTTTACGAAGTTTGAACTTTCACGTCACTTTTTACGAATCTGACGGCTCCAATTCGCCTGAAGATTTTCTCCGGCATCATGCGGTCTTTTTGGGTGTTCGTTTTAACTTTGTCACTTCTTGAAATAATTTTATGGCTATAGCATAAATTATGGTTTTTTAAAGTCCCAGTAGACAGCTAAAAAACACCGAATTCCATGCAGCGGCTTTGTTCATTAGCCCTTCGGTTTGAAATAGTTCTCAAAGGCAGGAGGGTTGAGGGGTACCTACTAATGCTCTTCTGATTCTCTTGGATTTCTCGCTAAGTAATCTATTTTTTAACTCATCAGTGCTTTCTTTCGACGTAATTTAACTAACCAGTCATGAATTACGCAGCAATATACTTGCTGAAAGCTCAATTTAGAGTTATTCTTTTGTTCGCCGCAACGTCTTTTGTTCAGGATCTGAAGTTGTGAAGATGATCGCGTGTTTTTTTGATGACGTCACAATTATTTACGTCGTGATGGCAGTATTTCTAGGTTATGGTAGTGTTTTGCATTTAGTCAAAACACGAATCTGTACTCTTTATCTGCGTCTTATCCGTCATGTTTAGCTTATTTTCAAATTTTAGAGCGTGTATTTTTATGTTTCATTCCGTAATATGCCAGTTAATTTTACTAGTGTCTCAAAATGGAAGAAGTTTGTCCGTTTGATATCAAGAAACTCCTTCGGTACTTCGCCAAGAATACTTACAGAGCCAGAGACGCCACTCAGATGGTAATATTTTCCACATATTTCGTTTCTTAATGGTCATTTTAAGCAATTCTACTGTTCCTGATCATGGTTTGTGTTGCTTGAAGTTATCCTGTCATCCTAATGTCAGTTTTTTTACTGCAACATGTGCTAGAGCTAATCTCTTGACGTCAAGTAACATCTTAAGTCTTATCATACTTTGTCCATGTCAGCATGGAGAATATGAGCTTAATCATGCTCAACAAGCCTCTGAACGCCAAGTCTCAGAATTGTGGGCCTCGTTGGATCTGCTCTCATTAATAGGTACTTAGCGTGAGCTTTATGTACCTTGAGTGTTGCTAAACAATAGGTAGCGTCAAAGGTTATGATTTGCTCACTTCCAGTCCTCTCCCATCTAATTGCCATGTATCAGATGTCCATACCTTTCAACCTCTCACCTTTGAAATTCCTGAAACTTAAATAGATACTTTACTCTCCGCCAAATTTGAGAGCAATTCATTTAAATAGAAGGAAAAATGTGGAACTGCTCCTCATTGTTTGGACTGATAAACAAACTATATCAATCTTAAGTCTTTATGCAAGCTGACCGATCAGTCAAGCATCCCTATTTTACAACTTAGCGATGAATTCTCTCTTCAAGTTCAAATTTTTCCTCTAGTACTGAAATGTGTTGTGTTTTTTAATAGATTCCACAAAAACTTAAGAGTAATTTTCATTCTCACATCGAACGGAGGTACCCAGATTTGAAGCTTGCAATTCTATCATTGTGACAACCAAAACTTTTATTCTCACCATGTAATCTCATGACTTTTTCTCTTTCTGTTTTCAGGGCCAAGATGTCATGCAAAAATGTGTTGACTTAATTGGACGTGATTATAGCTATGTTGTAAGTATGCCTCACTGCTTCTAAATCATTTTCATCTTAAGAACTTGATAATAATATTAGTGACCCTTTTGACGTGGAGGATCAAATTGTATTTTATTTACCTCACCATTTTTCAATCTGAGTTGCAAATACCATTTCTGTCTTCAAATACTTTCTAGTCAAAAGTGAATCATATTATTTCATAGAAGGCAGGAATCCAAGGTTTCCACAACATTTTACTTTGTCAACCATCTATAGAATCACCTCAATTATGTTACTAATTATCAAAGTATAGCTGAAAGGAGTGGGGAAGGAGATGGAATGAACGGAGTAGGCTGATGAAGATAGCAAACCCCTCAGAGCAAACTTTTGCAAGAAAATAATCCACGAGTATTTTTACAAAGAATAATAAACTGATTTTCAAATTCTGTGTGTTTGAGACAATATCCTCTGATGAATAATGTTTCTCTTTCTCCTTGCACAATTCTTACCACCCACATGATCATTCTTTTTTTCTCTTTTCATCACTGGAAGATTGAACAAAAAGAGATTGATCTAATCACTTTTCTTCTTTTAGATTGTAAACAACCATGCAGGAGAATTGAGTGCTCACTACCCAAGTCAGTTAATTGTAATTGAGTATGAACGGCAAAATGAATCCATTTTGAACGAGCGTATGTCCAGAAGTACCATTTACGAAAATGTTTATGACGCTGCAAAACTCCGTGATCTTTTTGGGAAAGGAAGGTTTGCCCGTTGTCGCGCAAGATTTCCTTGCCCTGTCATATTCTACAAAGGAAAGCATATTTGCAGGTATGAATTTTTAATCTTTCGGTCGTTTAACTCATTGATGGTGAAACTTCCAAATCACACATCTCAATTTGCGATGGTGCCGACTTCCTTTCATATACTACTTTTAAATAGAGAGCTACTCAACATCAATTCTGTAAAGTTTCTTTGCTTTTTCACCTCTGTGGGAAGCTAATTTCAGAAAACTTCAAGGAATGATGTTAATTTATTCTTCTTTAAAAAATAGAACAAGAGAGGAGGTATTTAAACAACGCAAGTAAGACTTGTGGTTCAGGAATTTCACTGTTCATACATGATAGAAAACATTGAATTTAATTTAATGTTTTTTTTCTTAACTGCGCGAATCCATGCCAATATACTTAAATTTTAATGAAGTGCTTTATGTTTTTTGAAGTTTTTATCTGATCAAAATTTTAGGTAAATTCCACCCCAAAAGCTTAGGTTGAATTTTTGGCAGAAGAAATTAATTTCCTTGTTAACAAAAAAAATACTGCACTGTTCAATATGTCACATTTCGGTCAAAGTATCACAAACGCTGTTCATGCTCAGCCGCTATCTTGCTGGAAATCTCAGTATTGTTTTAAGTTTTTCTTAAAAAATGTTGAACATTTTTCTTTCAAAATTTCAGGGATTAATCTTGTTGACGAAAGGAATTTCATGAAATTATCTTGTCATGTTATCATTTTACATGTAAAATTTTCAAGTGATTATGTTAATTAGTTTTTCTGTGAAAAAATGGTTGAAGTCGACAACAATTAAATCTGTCAATTTTTTCCACAGGTCTGCAACTTTATCCAGAGGACCTGAAATCTATGGTCGATCTGGCTTAGATTATTTCTTTGCTGCAGAGGAAGCAAATGATGACGATGATGATATCATTGAAAGTAATGATGTGGAGGTTGACGCTGGCGAATGGCAACTTCTAGACAAAGTGCGGAAGCAGGATATCAAGCTGTTGAAAACATTGAATATAGGCACTATTATAGACTTGATGGTTGAGAAGAAAAAAGTCAAATTTGGCTTAAAGTAAGTACTCGGAACATTTTTACTTTCTATTCATTTATTTAGTTATTGAACGTTTAGGATTAGAGGGAGGGATTTTTTGCTAAAGCCTCAACTCTGAATGGCAGAAAATTTTTTTTTATAAAAATCTCATTATAACTCATTACTTATTTACAACAAAATTAGACTAATGCAAGTTCTCAAAGTTAATAGCTAGGTTGGTAATTATAAATTAACATCCATCATTGAGCTGTGATTCCTATACCTCTACCATTAACACCTGAGAACCTGATAGAAATTTAGTTGACAAATACTAGAGACAGAATTAGAAACTACCTCTAGGTTGTACTCAAAACAAATAGTACAGCAGTATCATATCATTGAGTAGTTGTTTTATTTTCCTAGGATATTGTAAAAATCCTCAACTGGATGGTTGCAATGGCATTGTGGTTAATGTATGGGTGGATGTATTTTTTCTGCTTTAATAATCAGTAACAAATCGAGTTAAGCTGTAACATGCCCAGTTTTTTTAAGTGCTACAAAGTTTTGTAGGGCATACTTGATTACAGAAATTATATGTACAGCAGGGCAATACTTTTCATGCTTATTCTGATTGGGAACAGGTAGAACATGTTTGGAGTACATCACAGGATTGTTTCAAAAATAGGATGTCTAAAATCTTTTCATTAGAATATTCTCTCATTGGTGTTGTAACAAGCTGTAAAAGTTATGGTGAAAAAAATTAATCTATTATGATCATTTGCCTTCAAATTCATTGTATCCCCACTGTAATGTTTTCAAGACTGTAAACTTTTGTTATCATTTATTTTTTCAGTGTGACATCTTCTGAGAAAGTAGACAAGGAAAAAAGATACTGTGATTTTAACATTATTTCACTTCCATACCCGGGTTGTGAATTCTTTAAGGAATTTCGTTCGAAAAACTATTCGGCCAAAGGCCTTGTTTTTGATTGGACACAAACGCATGTTGATGCAGATATTGATGTTCCTGATGACAGCACAGCTAATAACTTGAAGATCAGTTGGAGTGACTACAAGGTATCTCTTTATTTTTGTATGTTAGAAATTTTTGCCTGATGAGGCTAAGGTTTCTTTTTTGTGGACGATCACGCATGATAGTTGTTGCTGATAGAAATTTTCATGAAAAAAACAATTTTGACCTGAAATAAGTCTGTCAGTGCCTTCTGAGCTCAAAAAAAGTGGTAGAAACTTTCCAAGCGTCAAAATATAAAGCAATTGACGTATTGATGGCTAAAGGCGAAAAATGCGCATCTCGGACAGTGACGTTGCAAGTTTCTGCTCATGTGAAACTAACCAATAGTTTCTCTTGCAGTTCTCTTCAAAGTTTCTTCACTCATTCTACAACAACCATAGAAACTTGTGAAGAAAAATTTTAATTAGTCTTCCTCAAGGAAATTAAATCATAATTGGAGATTTTCAAATGTTGCAGTTGAGGCAAGTACTCTCGCATTTATTCCATCGATCTCTTGGGATCAAAAAAAAAAAAAAGTGCGTTTAAAAATATAGAAAATATCAGAGAAAAAGCAATCAAGGGTTCAACTATTGACTCTATTAGCAATTCTTTCAATAGTACGATATGTAATAATCACTCTCTCTTGATTTCAGGAATGGGACCTTGTGCAATTAACGCAGAATTATTTGCGACTAATTTTGCGGTATGTGTCAGATAACAATACCGGAACGCTGGTTCACTGTATCAGCGGCTGGGATCGAACTCCACTGTACATCTCTCTTTTACGACTCTCCCTATGGGCAGATGGCGTTATCCATCAGTCACTGAATGCCAAACAAATACTTTATCTCACCATTGCTTACGACTGGTTTCTCTTTGGCCATAATCTCCAGGATCGATTATCCAAGGGAGAGGACATCTTCTTTTTCTGTTTCTATTTCCTTAAATATCTGCAAGCCGATGAGTTTAGTGTTTTACCCAGGTAAATACTCTCTTTTACTTTTTCAATTGAGTAGGAAACAGCCGTAGAGAAAAAAAAGGAGGTGTTTGCATCTTGAGGTTTGTTCACCCTGTGACGTAGGTCGGTACAACCTGGCCAGCGAAATTCGGAATCCGAAATACGAAAAATGGACCTTAATGTCCGATTTTTCTGCTTAAATCAACTCATGATATAATTTCAAGCACTTTTTATAGAATGACTTTTTTCCATAAATTACACCATTTCCAAGAAAATCGATGATAAACGTTGCTGTACCAACCTACGTCATCAGAAAAATTCCCAGATGCCCGAAATGCAAACACCTTTTTTTTTCTCTATGGGAAACAGCAGTTGTCTTCATGGCTCAGGATAATATGCCTATGTTGTTGCATATGTATAATATTTTATAAACCCTTGAGTAATATATCATAAAGCCTCTTCCTCACACTCACCCTTCTTTTTGCTCATTATATAGATGGCTAAATGGAATAACCGCATATCTCAATTACAATGTTTAAAAATCTCCGACCATGTATTATTTTCTCCTAAGAAAACGAATCAAAATGTTTCCTTGCAATCTTGTGTTATTTTTCTAAGAATGAAGGAAGAAAATTCTCAGCAAATCACAATAGAAACTATCGATTAGCGTTCCCTCAAGAAATAAAAATGAGTGAAGACTTACAACTGAGGGTTATTCTGTTAAATATATTACTGCATTCCTCTCCAATCTAACAGGCGTTTTGCATTACTGTCCAATATCATTTCAGCCAACAAATGTAACAATTCCCGGCCAGAATTCTTTTCTACGAATTCTACACGTATCTTTTTAGTTATCAGAAGTTCAAACTTAAGGACATGGAGGATTGAAACCATCATGCATGTTTCAGGAACAAAGTCAAGCACGGTAGTGTTTCTCGGAATGATTCTGACTCCCAGCTGGAAAGCACTGTTTTCGATTTAGATGGATCCATACATCATGGCTCAAATATCAGTTTACACAGTTCTTGGAGCTCTATCAGTAGCCGTAGTCAGGATAACCCTATTTTATTAAATGCTGAAGACTGCACTGTTCGGTAAGTGGGTGAACAACGTTTTTAGTAGATCAATTATCAGGGTTTTCAGCGGTCCGGAAAACCAGAAAAGTCAGGGAATTAACAGCAGCCTGGCAAAGATAGGATTCACAGGAGAAGTTGAGGAATTTCATGAAAAGCGTTTAGCAGAAGTTAGAATAATTAAAAGAAACAAGTCAAAGTTTTGTCCGAAGGTCAGGAAAAGTAAGGGAATTCGAAAATTTTAGAGGCAGGGAAAAGCATACAAAATATCAGGGAATTCAAAGATGAAGAAATTATGGAAACCCTGATTGTACTTGTCGGCTTTGAACATCCTACATCGAAAATATTTTTAAAGCATAGAGTTAATATTTAATCACTCAAAAAATCTGACATCTCTAATTTCATGGATAGATTTGGATTCTTCTGCCCACCCTTGCCTTATAGCATAAATTTTTATCAGAAAAATGAGGCCCTTCTTATCAAGAAATGTAACAAAAAAAAATCACGTGAAGTCTACGAGGAGACCATAAATATGACCCTGAATGCCCATTTTGAATGAAATTGCACAAATAGTTTCTGAAATATACCCGTACACAGAAATCAAGGATGGCGGATAGACAGACTCATATTTTTCAAGTTAGGGTTTTTTTTTTAGTCAAGGCACCTTTAAATGCCCAGAAATGATTAAATTTCAACTTTTTCTTCTTTTTGGATGACAATACTTCCTCTATCCGCAAGTGGAGTGAGAAAGTAAAAATTAATGTCAATATTTAGACTTTCCGAGCACTGGTTCTTTTCTCACACGCTTTCAATCTACTTTTCAGGAATGGCTCAGGGACTGCGACCACTGGGAAATGGCTGAACAGTTTAGAATCTCAGAACTCAGACAGCTCTAGTCCCTCTCTTTCTATGCTTGGAAATACTCCTTCAACTAGCACCTCCAACGCTAGCTCTGGCTCGAGTAATAGCGCCGAATCCAACGGAGGTCTGGTCATCGTCCCATCGTCCCCCTTCCGTCTAAGCTCCTCCTCGTTGACCTCGCTTCAAAATTACCCGATACCAGTGAGCTACCTGAACGGGAACGGTTCCTCGCATTTGCCAGTCAATGCCATTGAGTGTTCACCCGCTTGTATTCCAAACCCAGCAACCAAAACTCCCAACCCCTCGTTATGTAACGTACCTGCTTCTAGCAATATGAACTCCAGTAGTATAGGCCCAATAAATAATATCACCTACCCTAATTTATTTAACGCTAGTTATTCGTCACTGCCATCGTGTGAGCTGTCGCAGCATGTGAACGGTTCAAGCGCTTTAACGACAAACTTGAGGCAGCCTGGTAGTCCAAGGAACGATCTGCCTCGAAGGACGAGTCCCGTAGCGGTGCCTGCTTTTAATAGCAACGGAAGGCAAAGAACAGAGTCGAGTGGATCTTTGGGAGTTGGCAGGTAATTTTACTTTCCATACACTTTTTTGACATCTTAGCAATGAGCAAATGGACCGAGTTTAACAGAAAGGAACCAAGCCACATCAGCTATTGCCAAATTTAACGAGGCAATTTAATTTTTTACAAAAGAAGGTTTGTGCGGATTCCTTTGAAAATTTCAGGGAATTTGCTTCGTACTATGCAGAAAATTCACTGAAAATAGCACAAATATCCGCACAATCGTTTTCATGGAAAAAATTAAATTGCCCAGTTAAATTTGGCAATAGCTGATGTGGCTTGGTTCCTTTCTGCTTAACGCGGTCCAAATGATTCTCAGCTGGTACATGAAAAATTGGTTAACTATGTACCCAAATATTAATTTTACAGGATTTCTGATATACAATGAAGAAACAAATTATTCAGCCAAAAAGCACAGTGAAATAACAACTTAATCCAGAAACAGGCTACCTCACAAGACTAAAGATCAGACACAAAAACCAGGACGTTTTGAGTTAATTACAACCTTATTTTCAACTGGAAAAAAGAAAGCAAAATTAAGTCGGCGATTTGTTGTCATTGTGAGACCGAAACTAAGAAAACAAATTGTCTTCGATTTGTCTTGGTCTCGCAATGGTTGCAAGTAGACTTGTCAATTTTACTTTATTTTTTTTTTTTTAATTTTTTTTTTTTTAAAATAAGACCGTTACTAACTCAAAAGTCCCTAGTGACAAATAGTAGTGGGAGAAATGTGAAGGCACCTAAAAAAGGGTAAAAGTGTGAAGGTAGAAGACAATTTTGAAAATGAAACCACCTATATTCGTTATTTTCCAGAAGAAAATTACTAAGCGCATCTTTCTTGAGGAAAATACTATGTAACACGCTCTTAATACGAAGATAAAAGTGATGCATGCTCCTTATCGTGAAAAAAACAGTGTGTGGGCAGTCTCATGTGGATGAAAATGTGGAGGCAAAGCACTTTCTACATCCATGTGTGTTGCCCAGATTTCTTGCGATTATTTATTCATTTTATTCTCATTGCTTTCTCTTAAATTTCATTTTGTGCGTCCTCAATAGTCAAGTTCAGTAAGAATAATCTATGTACATACTTTTTTCAGTTGGCAGTTCATATCAGGCACGGGAAGTCTGAGAGGATCAGGATCAACTAACTCAACATGCGGTTCTCAACTGAGTTCAAACAACTCGCGATCAAACCTGTAAGTTCTATCACTACAACGAATGTTTTGTTTCTTCGTTTTTGATCAAAAATTATTTGAATATCCGCCACCAAGTTAGGTAGCAGAGCAGGGTGTCTACAAGTTCGGAATTTCTGGAAAGTCCGGAAAAAGTATTGATTATTTAAGGGGGGTCCAGAAGTACTGAATAAGTGCGCCCATTCCGCAAGAAGGTCCAGAATTTTTTCATTTTTTTGTCATTTTTGTCGCATTTTAAGCGAGAAATTCGAATCTTTGAAATTCTCCAAATTTTGTCAATTGGAGGTACTGAAAAAGTACTGAATTTTTCTGTTAAGAAGGTACTGAATTTCTTGGGAATGTACTGAAAAAGTACTGGTTTTTGGCCAGCCTGTTTTAGTAGACACCCTGCAGAGTTGAAAATGAAGATTGTGAAATGGAAAGAGGTGTGCTTTAGGATTTATCTTGAGCTCACACATTTTGACCTAAAGATGAGTGAGATTTAGCTCAGAATGGACACTGTCAGATTAGAAATTCTTTCGAGTAACTGGATTAGGCCTTCAAAAAGCGAGTCCTTTCCTCTAGCAACAAAACTGGACAAATTAAAAAAAAAATCTTCCCAAATTTAAGAAAAAAAGAGATAAGATCATACAATTTTGCAGGTATGAAACAACTAATTGATTTTCTTTAGAATAGTTTTACATCTAGGGAGGTACACTCTGATGTGCCCTGAAGGAATGACTTAATCAATCTTTTTATTTTAAATTTTATTGAATTGTTTAAAATTTACAGGATCGTTTTCCTTTAAATTTTAAAATGTTTTGAGGCATTTTTTAAGATGACTATGAAGATGTACGATTTTTACAACACCGTAATTGCGTTGGTTTCCTTCTGATGAATGCGAACCATTTAAGCAACTTCGTTTGCACTCTCAAGACTTCTGATAAGTTTTCTAATTTGTTCGTCCGTTCTGTTAAAGGTTTGAGGGCATTACCTCAGAATCAACATCAACTATTGTTGAAGATGACTGCTTTATATATGGTTCCGATATTCCAACACAGTGAGTAATCAGTTTCATGATAAATTTAACAAGCTATCTCCCCTTTTTTCCTAACTAAAACTTGAAATAATGTATCTCCAATCAGCTTTCACCTGAGCACATGTATTCAGGAAGCAAGTCTCATTGAAACAAATTTTTTCACTCGATGGAGGCATTTATTTGCTGATGATGAGCCTAGACATTTTGCTCTGTTAAAAAATATTTTTGTATTCCAACATGATCATACTGAACTCTGTTTCATCACAATATCATAGACTATATCAACGGTGTAAGTCGGCAATCATATCTCATTTGCGGTGTCTGAAAATCTCCGCCTCTATGTTCTTTTTTTATAGGAGAACAAATTTACTTAATTTCTTGAAGTTTTTGAAGAATTTTCTTTGAATAAAGAAGAAAAATGACAACAGATTCAAAGAATTTCCGTTGAGTAGTTTTCCGTTTAAAAAATAAAGTATGATAGGAAGTCTGCGACGTCGCAAACCGAGTTATGTGATTGCCGACTTACACCGTCGATATGCAATGTTCTTCTGGTCACCGATCAGTGAGATTTTGGCGGCTCTTCAGGGGTTTTGCAAGACCTGAAAAGAAGTGGGATTAAACTGATTTTCTGTTGAAAGCAACACATTTTTTTAATAAAGAGTCTCATTCCAATAGAAAGTACGTATAACCATTTTAGTACTCTCCTAATAGGTGTGATGCCGTGATGTGGCCAGGGGGATTCAGAAACTCTGAATGCCCTTGACTGGAAAATTCTCCCAAAACAACATAATTTTTCGTGATTTTCAGGAATTTTTTACCCTATGACCCTTCTTATGAAAAATTTTTGATTGGAGCCTTTGCCCCTCCGATGAAAACATTTTGGCTAACCCATTGGTATGATGCACGTCGTTCCTTTTAAAATATTTTATTTTTAATCAATTGTTACAATGACTCCAAAATGGAATTTCCTGTCCACCATGTCAGCAGTTCAACTTAATTTTAGAAACATGATGGGACCCTTTGATAATGGAGTTTTAAAATGCTTTTTATCTACTTGCCTTCTTTCTACATAACTGTTTTTTCTTTTTGTATGTTTGCAGGAGAAAGGAACGCTTAAAAGCAGTTCGAGTAATGTTTTATCATTATCACTCAAAAACCATAGGTTACGGTTGCAGAGATGGAACAGAAAGTTCAACTCTAGTCGGCAATATAATCGGGAATTTCGCTGAGAAAGTAGGCATCAGGAATTCGCAGCACTCCTCTGTGTAGTCAAACCTCAGGTTCTCTAAAGCCAACCCTATCTGTAATTCGTTATCTGCTCGACCAGAGTGTTTCGAAATTCTGACCTGTGAATACATCGTGACGTTATCCTTTTTTGTCTTTGTAGCTTTGTAAATGTTGTCATGATTGTTACACACAAATTTCCAGTTCTCATGTTGAACAACAGTTGTTGAAATGTAGGATTTTTGAAAAACTGTTACAAAGAATGATGGGCCTAGTCTTTTTTAAAAGAAGAAAAAATTTGTTGAGAAAGTGTTTGAACGTTTTCGTCAGATTTGTAAATTTTGCTCCAAGTTTAGGCCTCTGTTCAAATTTTTTTTTTTTTTTTGTCAAATTTCACATCTAGATTATGTCTTAAATGTCAAAATGGTCTTTTCTGACAAGCTCTGAAACATTTAAACAAAGGAAAATCAGTTAATGTGACAAATTTACATAATGATTGACTAAAAATGGGACTTTGAATTACAGCAACTTTATCAAAACTAATTTTGTGCGCAAAAATTGCTGTCGTCCAAAAAGACTAATTTTTTTTTTTTTTTTTATTTCTCGTTTGCGGATATCATCAGTAAGGACTATTTCTTGATTGCCAGTTGAAGGAGATGTATCAATTAAGGTCGTTTATGGGCCCACCCTGAATTTCCTCAGTTCAATGATTCTTCGCTCCTTGAAGATCTATATTTTACAGAATGCATTATGATTTGGTCATTTTTGGTCTCTTTTTGGATCTAATACTGGCCTAAACATGGATCTAAAGGCCTGTTTTGACGAAACATGTGAGTTTTGCAGGTTTCTGATTAAGTGCCGAAGCATCCGCATTTTTCGCCAAAATTGGCCCTCAGACCCAAACTTAGGTCGATACTAGTCCTGAAAAAAGACTGAAAATTACCAAATTACGATGCATTCTGTAAAATGGAGAGCCTCAGTGAGCAAAAAACTGTAGAGTTGAGGAAATTTAGGGTGGGCCAAAAAGCGGCTCGTATTGATACACCTCAGCGGCAGCTTCTTGCTCAGCTGAGATTATCAGTAAGGACTATTTTTTAGTTAGTCAAACAAATGTCTGGTTTATTTTCCGGCAGGAACTTGTCCGTGCTCAAAATTCTTGAGGTCTTTCAGGCCTCTGAGGATCATGAATTTTCTATTGGTTATTAAGTGTAAAAACTATTCTGTTTAATTTTACTCTGTCATTTCTTTGGAGGACAAATAGATGTGCAAAAATGTAACTTTGTTCGCAGTTTCATCGTCAGAACTGTTGACCGGTTATTGTGTCCAGAAGAATCATTGTGTTCCAATTCAAGCCAATCTTAGCAAATGTTACAATTTTAAATAAATAAATTAATTTATTAATGCTGATGTACCAAAGCCAAAGTCATTGAAATTATTTAAAAGAATTCTCATAAAAATAAGTGTCAAGTTCAGGGATCTAATTGCATGGCAAACCCAACAATTTTAAGAAATCAAGTCGATAACTTGAGAAAATTGAATTATTCTTTTTCACAAGAAAGATTTCTTTCTGTAACATTATCTATTTTTGAGCCTGTTTCCCTGAACTAGAAGAAAACACCATTTACCAAGAGCTAGTAAGCTGTAATGGACCACTTCACAGACTGCAAACTCAAGCAATCTGTGTACCCGCATCAAAATTTCATGCAGAATACAATTTGCAAGATAAAACTTACTGAAATTAACTTTTAACCAAGATATTAACGTTTTTATTCAGCGCAGGTCACCAAAAATTTGAATTTCTGGCTCACAAGAATAACCATCGTCGACGTGAATCAAATCGCGCAATACGGTTTCGGCAAGCCTCTTAATCAGGTAGTGTCCCATCCCTGCCTTGTGTTGTTCAAAGTGTGAAAACTAAGCAGCAGCTTAGGTATAGCACTGAGATTCAGAAATACATATTTTTATACTGCTGAGACTTACAGGAACGTTTAGTTTGCAATTTAGATCAAGTAGATTATGTTTTTTTAGGAGTCGCAAGTTTGAATCGCTGCATCTATAAACTTTAATAACTTGGTTGGGAGTTACTTTCAGTCACTTTTGTTGCACGCTTTGTGTGTGTTCTACGTAAATGGAGAGAAAACATTTATCATCTTTCTAAAATATGCATTTTGTCTAGTGGTCCATTTACATTTTAAAAATCATTGCTCTTTGTTCCCCTCCCCCACTCTCTGTCTGCTACGGTTTTATTTACCTGTTTTACCACTACCCAGTTTATTCCAAAACTCATTATTCATGTGCATATCTATCTATTTTATTTGTTTTACTGTGACCCAATTTATTTATTTATACATTACATTTTTGCCTTGTTTTTAAATCGGTTATTTTTTTGGCGTACGAAACTTGAGCTGGGGCGGATGTTTCAATACCCACTTAGTTTTGTTCTGACTGGAATAGCTCAGAATCATTGTATATTTTTATAGTTAAAATGGTAAGATTTAAAATATTTTAAGATAGTATCGGAGTTTTTTAACAATCCAACAAATCCAGGTTTGTTCACGAGGTTCGAATTTGTCATACTTCTATTTGATTTTGAGTCAATCAAGTCCACTTGTGTAGGTATTTTCCTCTATAATTTTTATTGTACTTGTATATCTTACCAGTAAATAATTGTAAAAATAAATTCCAATTGATAACTATTTGCCTGTTTCTCTGCTGTTTTTCTTTAAAATTTTAATACTTTTATACAGCCCAATTTCAATATGAAACTTTATGTCATTGTTTATGACATCTGTCATTCGGCTATAAAAAAAAAAGAACTACAAACAAGAAGTTTTTAAACCGTATCCCTTTTTCTTATCTTGTGTAATTCAGAAGGAAATATTTTTCCCATCAGTAAGGTTCTAAAATATACCTATTGCATCATTACCTGAATGCCTGAAAGTTATTATTATTAATATATTTTATTTTTATTCTTTCATTGCCATCCTTTAAATAAAATAGTATATCAAATCAATGACTCATGAGATAAAATTGAAAAAATATAAAATAAACAAACCATGAATTTCGGAGGAGACAGCATCATTTGCGATGAAGTTAGACAGAACTCTTAAGGAGGTAATTGACATTGTTCAGTACAACGAAAAAATTAACGTAGGGCTAGAAAAATCTATTTTCAGTACCTGATAACATCTAATGAAAATTTCAGATAAAGCTTTTTGATGAAGCGTGTTGACGCGTAAAAAAACGCCTTCATTGTGAAAAGATATTTCCTAGCGTGGCCTCGGAGGTCGAATAGTTGCATCATTTAAAAACCTAATCAATGGGGTAGCAGCGTAGATCAGTGAGTAATGCGGTCAGGTAATGCTTTGATGAAGCGTGTTGACGCGTAAAAAAACGCCTTCATCGAGAAAAGATACTTCCTAGCGTGACCTCGGAGGTCGAATAGTTGCATCATTTAAAAACCTAATCAATGGTGTAGCAGCGTAGATCAGTGAGTAATGCGGTCAGGTAATGCTTTGATGAAGCGTGTCGACGCGTAAAAAGCGCCTTCATCGAGAAAAGATACTTCCTAGCGTGGCCTCGGAGGTCGAATAGTTGCATCCTCTAAAAATCCAATCAACCTCATGTGGACATCGGCACAAAAGGCGCTTAACGGGCTCCACGTACGAAAATCCCTCGCGGCGACACTGACGTCTACTATGACGTCCAGTAAGATTAAAATCTGTTCTTAATGTACCCTCGTAATTTACCGAGTTTCTTTCTTTTTGTCTAAAGCCATCGCACTCGTGTCCCAGTTAAATTGTACATGACTTGTAAGTCCGTCCGACCGACCAAAGAGGTGACATAATTGAGTGTCCTCTTTCACTTACGTAATTCGTGTGGTAGGATAACCGGACAAGTCTGAAATGAATGAGGGAAAAAGAGAGGTAACTTAATATCCACACTCCTGTCGCTCTAATTGCAAGTGAGCTGAAACCGTGTGGATTTCGCCCATCGATTCCTCATAGAATGATGCATGTACGAACGGGTGCCCTTTAAATTGCCCAACGAAAATTTTATTTCAATCTCCCTCGTTCTAAAGCCCTCGCTCACTTAATAGATCAAACTTTTTTTTATTTATTTATTTATTTTTTCCTAATTTTCCAAAGACACGTTAAAGTACCTAGGTATGACAGTAGTGTTGTTTTCCCCAAAAATCGATTAAATCAAAAATGTCGATTTAGTCCCCCTC